GACCGAAAATTTGGATACGCTACATAGATGATACATTCGTGATAATCAAAAGAGAAAACTTAGACAATACCCACAACATAATAAACAACACCTTCAACGACATCAAATTCACAAGAGAGGAAGAATATAAAAACAAAATCCCATTCTTAGACGTCTTAATCAAACGAACAACTACAGGAAAATTAGAAACCCAAGTATACAGAAAACCAACGCACACGGATCAAATACTCAATTACAACAGTAACAACCCAACATCACACAAAATTAGCTGCATACGTACATTGTTCAAGAGAGCCAGGACTCATTGCAGCACTCCCGCCTTGAGGAAAATTGAAGAAAATCATCTTATGGACGTCTTCCAAAGAAATGGATACCCACGAAACTTCATCAAAAGACATCTACCCCCAGCTCAACCAACCAAATCAAAGGCCACCAGCGAAAACACAAAGAAAGTCGTCCTACCATATATAAAAGATATCTCCGAAATCACTGCAAGACTATTCAAACCTTTTGGAATCGATGTCGCTCATAAACCAACAAAGTCACTACACTCAGTTCTATGTAAGCCAAAGGACTCAACTGCAAAAGAAGACAAAACTAACGTCATCTACAAGATAAATTGCAACGACTGCGACAAACATTACATTGGTCAAAGTGGACGCCCTCTTCGTCTTCGCATTCACGAACACAAACTAGCTGTCAAAAGACACGACATACACTCCCTCATATCACTACATGCAGACAACCACGGGCACCAATTCGACTGGGACAATGTTCAAATCTTAGACAAAGGGAACTGCAAAAATGCCAGAGAATTCCTAGAGGCCTGGTATTCAAAAGAATCAGCAATCAATAGACACATAGAGATTGACAAAATATACCAATCCATACGAAGAAATTCACACAAAAACAAAGTCAAACTTCAGGTCAAGGAAACAGTCAACACCAAAACAAGTGAACTAGAAAGTGAGAAGTCACACAAAAACAACCAATCACGTTCAAGGTTAGCAGAAGGAATGACTAACGACATTCAGACCAAAGAAGCAGCCAGCACCGAGACAAGCAAACTAGGGGATGAAATGTCACACGAAAACAACCAATCACGTTCAAGGTTACTAGAAGAGATGACTAATAAACTCATAGAGAATTCTAAAAGCTCACTTCACATCGAAGTATGCGCTGAAGATGTTGCTCAGTAGAGCAATGAAAGCTTCGCAACCAAACCATCCAGCTAAGAGAACACAACCACACCAAAATCATCCACCTGAGCTACAAATCTTCTCTATTATATCTAAGGTTTACACACAATACTTTTAACACTACTAATAGTGCTGTCTGTTTGACGAGCTGTCTGAATTTCGATGGTTGTCACAGTTACAACAATAATACTATGGCGCTGATGATACTGACAAGACTTTTTAAGTAGTATATCACGATTTTTGGTGTTTTGCAAAAATATCGAAGAATAGCGGAGGCATGGATTAAATGGAGAAGAGGAGAAATCAGATATCCTTATGAAACGACGTATAGAAAAAAATGAAAGGAAGGCAAAAGATGAACAATATGGGGAACATGTGCAAATACTGATTTTAATGTAAGGCGTAAATATTTCGCAGTATTTATGCATCAAGTTGCCAATAAACAATTCCGTTACCATAGACTATCGTGTTTTCCTGTTACACTACTGTAATGGGTCTTGCTAATGTGTTCTCTCTCGTGTAAATTGTGTAGTTGGTAATTAGCGCGGAAATCACTTCTTAATTCAATTATAAAAACAGTACAGTTCCATAACGTCGCTATTTTTCACGGACTCCATATTACTGTAAGGTAAGCTTTCAATTTACAAGAGGGACAAGTAAAACAGCATGGGAGATTACAAATTCCTAGTATTTATTAAAAATTTTCGAAACCGGTAAATAATACTGTGGTGAGCGATGGCTGCGAATAAGCCAAAATTGTAGACAACAATTTACGTCAATGTTTACGTTCCCTATCGGCGTTATGAGAAAAAACAATAAGAAAGCTTAACCTTGAAGAACTCAACAACCAATCACAGCAGACTTTGTGTGGGCGGATGTGATTCGCAGCTACATGGCCTAACTTTTTAAGAAACGGCAATAAAGAAATGACAGAATAACCTTCAGTAAGAGAAACCAATCAGAAAACGTTGCTTCTCTGCTAACAATAATGAATAATAATGTACATAAAAATTTATAAATATCTGTTGATTTTCTCAATAAACGATGTGTTGCCTAGCCCTTGTCTTCTGTCGTTACAATACTACTCGCAGTAATGACTAACTTCCTTTAAGCATGGTTGTTATGATTTGCCTTGTTGATGACCTCGGGAAGCTAAGAACCAATGGCTAAAAACTGTTGGTGATCTGACTAAAAGTCGCTGTCGATGGCGTGGATGCATTCACTGTCTGTGATCTCCCATATTTATTATTATTATTAAAACACTAACTTAGCACATTATGGGCACCAACAGATGTGCCATACGGAAAAAATGTCACAGTTTGTACGACGGCTGCGATACTACCTGAACGCCCAGACCAAAACAGGTGGCTGTCTTAAGGGACCACCTATCCTGTTTGAACTTTTGACTTGAAATCTGATCCATAAGGCAACGAAGCGACGTCCCCATGGTTTCCAGGGATCAAAATGGCTTCATACGCTATTTGATCCCTTCGTGTCCTGGCGCCTATGTACTCCACAGGTTTGTAATTAGGGTTTTCCGACTCTCCTAGACAAACCAGAATGCGTACTAGTCCAGTTATAAACGCCAGACGTTTGTATTCGTTGTTTCCCTTTTGTGAGCGAATTTCTCGCCACGCGAAACCAGTAAATAGAACTTACTTGGCAGAAGCTATGAACACTTGGCTATATGAGAGTTTTTCGCGCGCGAGAGAGAGAGACAGAAGTCTACCCACCAGTCTCTGTGTTCAGAAAAAGTTTGTTCAACCTCTCTCCCTCCCTTGGCCTTCATCCCCAACTTAAAATAGTTATATGCCACGGCGACACCTGATAACTGTAAATATTATCTTATTATTTTATTTTTTTTATTTGTAGTGCTAACTGTATTATCAATATTGTGCTGTGCTGTTAATTATTTAATTCAATTCAGATTTTCCCGTCAACTGATTGGACCGAAGTGCTTGGTCTCAGGTTGACATTTCGGCTCCTTGTGCAGATGTTTCGACGATGTCTGGTCGTGTAACTTGAAGTCAATTGGTGGATGATGACTATCAGCGGAATCTAGAATGCACGTTTCGTCCCATTCCGGACTCGTCACTGGATGTACCTGCATTCCGCAGTGAGCGATGGTGTTCCTACCAGCGAGGCTCGGACCCAATGTCCATAGTTTTAAACGCTGTGCTGTAGTTGTTTAACTCAATCTCGGCTTCGCAATTTATTATTATTATTATATTATCTAACTGCTGTGTGACGATTGTTATTTTCCCCTCTACCCCAACTAGTATGCACATTCTACCTATACATATTCTACCTATACACTCACCGTTGCCTAGATTATATAAACACTTAAATGGATTTATCTTTATTATTATTATTATGATCACTTTGATTGTTATCCATTACTTTATATCCCTGAACTCTGATCGTATATTTTGTTAACCACATTAATTTAAATGCCAATTACTACTAATATTTCATTATGTAAATGTAAAGCCTGATGATAATTTACCGAAAATATGTATTTGCTTAAAAGGGTGTTCCATAATTATCATTATAGGGAATATTTAAATTAGAAAACAATATGCTACTTACTGTGCTGTTTCGTTCAGAATTTTGTGCTTGTGGAGTGCTGTGCTGACTCTGTTGAAATCGTTTGCAAGTTGCTGACTGAGGTCTAGATGCCTAAAATATTCGGGAATTTTGTTTTATTTATTCAGGAAAAGTATGGTATGATAAAAATTCAAAAATATTATATTTGAAAAATATGATGAAACTGAAGGCAGACTTTTATGACAAATCAAAATTTCAACAAATAATTATCGCTATTTTGAATTTACTGAACAATCGCAAGGGTACACACTGTTCTTTTCACAACCACTTCAAATTCTATGTTCGAGAAATAAGGATACATTGTCTAATTTTGCCTCCACTACGTTTATCTAATGGTTTCATTGCTTCTGTGGAGCTAGTTACATTCGATATAGAATTAGAAATGCTCATGACAGAATTTCCGAACATCATCCTGCATGATTAAGTAATGGACAAACAAGAATAATTCGTAGCTCTGTTTTAGCACACATTGCAGACAGTGAGCACAATATTGATATTAATACAACATTTAAAGTCATTTATCTCATTCCGACTAATATCAGTTTTGAAAACATTTACTTCCCGATACGAATTTAAAACAAGCAATAAAGGTTAATAAAGCAGGATTTAATGAATTCATCAAATACATAGGTCGTACGGAAAGGCGATTGTCTACTCGCATGATGGAGCTCTTGCCAAAATGGTTGAGAACAGCTGAATGTAAAGTGCCAAAAATCTCAATAACAAAACATCTCGTGGACTATGGACATGATATCGACGCTGTCAAGTCATTCACCATTGTCAGCAGACAGAGAAACAGGGAGATGCTTGCAATTGCAGAGGTTTGTGCAATTCGAGTTTACAAACCAGGTCTCTGTGTACAAAAGGAGATGGTCGTGACTCTGAATCTACCATGGTAATACGTTTTACTTATTATTCTACCTCTTATTATTATTATTCTTGATTCATTTAAAAATATCCTTTATCTGTAGGATTATCTTAACTCACTTCAACACTATTATTATTATTGTCATTATAACTATTACTATTGACATCACTCTGTTTGCAATTCTTGTTATATTCTTTAATGTCTAATTGTTTATCTAAGTGATGCAATTGAAGCGTAATGCAATTCATCTTAATTTTGATCTCCCATACTCTCTCTCCCCTTATCTAATTGAACATGACCTAGAAATCATTCGCACCTGTCTTTCTGAATGACTAATTCAATGTAGTTTGTTTACTTATCAGTTTTATATCTCACAATTTCAAAAGTATATATATCCGTGTATGTTGAGTACTCAGCTGACGAGTTCTACCGAAATTTCATGAATTCATTAAATCGTGCTTTACTAACCTTTATTGCTTCTTTTATATCAGTTTTACTTCACGAGTTCGTCTTCTATATGCAGCTAACACTACCAGTATCCACCTAATGAAGCCAAAACCTGTGTGTTCAGAAGAAGTTCGTGGAGCCACTTTCCTTACGTTGGCTATCATTATATGGATGTAAAAACCTGACAGTTCCGCCCTCCCACTAAGCCTTTCACAAATTATCTTCGTTCTTACTATTTTATTATTCTGACTATTTCATCTGTATTTCAAAATAATGGATACTGAACAAAGAGTATTCTTTTCTATAACTTCATCACCAGGCTCTACAGTTACGTGTATACATTATATTGAATGAATGAATTAGTGTTATGAACAACACTGATGTTGTTTAAATAACATCGAATCAATAATATTGATAGATTACAGCTGAATAGCATCAACATAAAATAAGTTGAATGTCAGAAAAATTAGGAAAGATAATATTACAAATTCATGAATTTATAGTCTCTACTGAAGGCTGGCCAGGGCAATAGTAGGGGCTGGACTTGTTTCTTTTGAACACAGAGCACTGATTTATTACGTAATCAATTTGGGCATTTGTTTATTTAGTAATTACTTCACTTACTTTTCCGAAATTATGCATTATGTAATCCACTTGTTCAATTTTTTCAAATACTTCTACACTTTAATTGTTTGCACTAATTTTTAAAAATTAATTATTACCCCCTTGAAAAATTAATGTTAACAAACTTATCATCATTAGATTGGTGAATTTCTGTATTGTACTAAAGTTGCTATACATATAAATATATGACTAAATAGAGCCACAGATGAGAATGTAATTGAAAAGTAAATACTTCTTCGCTCAATCCTTCAAACTTGACAATGTTATTATAAAATTCACGTTATTCCAAGTTCTTTTGTTACCATTCAAGTAGACACAAAAGTTACATATTTTACAATGACCTCAAGCGGTTTTCTTTACACCACAGATGAGCGGTGAACCTACACATAAGCCACACAGGTTCATATTCACTGTAAATTTATGTAAAAGAACACAGCATGGGCCTGAGCTTTTGGATAACCAGTGCCTCAGCTATTCCTAGATGCCTTAATTTCACTCCCTTTGATAGGTTTGATCGGATCTTGCATGTGACTTCGAAGGACTTTTGAAATGAAACTGAATGTCTTGAATTAAGCATATTTTCTGTTACCGAACTGTATATACCCCTGAGTTCTCCCTTTGAAAACCATGCTGCTTAGTGTTTCCAACAGCGTTTTACAAGACAAAAGTATTTGTTCAATAATTCTCAACTTCCAACATTTTCTAAATTATTCGTTATTGAAACCAAATCACATTTGGATAAAATAAGATTTAATGTGGACTTTATTTCTGTGCTACGGGTTAGTACGGCATGAAAAATAGGAAATTATCCGACGGGTTTATTGAGTAAACTCAAAGTAATATTTAGGCATATGTTGGAGGATTTTATCATGAACTGACATCAGTTAGAGAACCACTGAAAAATCTGGAGGGAGTGCTGGATTGCTGTATCGCCAGCCTAGTTCGAAACTCCTTAGCAGTACGCACCCGCTGGGTTTCGAACCCGGGGCCTTCCGGATAGACAAGGCCACCTCGTAGACCATTAAGGCACTTGGACCCGCCAATCCAATGACCCATAAATTCTAACTTCGATCAATTCATGGCATAGCGCAACCACTTCGCAATGTCTTCTTCGATGAGATACTGCCTCATCTTCAACCTGCTGCGCCCTACTGGTCACGGCTCCCTACTAGAACCCCAGATCACTGCTTGAATAGGGCCAGTTGTTAGTGAGCATTAGATTAATTTTCAAGTATTGGTTTTTTAAGAATTTTGTTTGACTGGTTGGAGGGTTTCATCATGAGCTGGCATCATTTGAAGAACCATTGGAAAACCTGATGAAGAGTCCCAAACTAGGACAAAACAGCTATCCAGTACTCTCCAGTTTTCCAATGGTTCTCTAACCGATGTCAGCTCATGATGAAATCCTCCAACAAATCAAACAAAATCCCTAAAAAACGAGTACTTTAAAATTTAGGCATTTGTTTTAAAAAATCCCATTTAAAAAGAAATCAACTACTTCAGGGAAAATGGAAATGTGCGGTTTATTCAACAGTTTCGATTGCCAAATCAATGATGACATTTTTGAATTTAATTAAAAATTACATGTATTTGTTAGCTGCCAAAGGGTGATAAAATTTACGGCTAAACTGAAACATAACTTTAACATTAATCTCCATCATGTAAAGCTAGAACAAGGAGTGGTGATGAGACTTTACTAGCTGACTGCTATTCTTCAACTATCTGAAGGACAAGATCTTTCAGTCAGCCAACTATATGTTGTGTGTATACCAGATCACCTGCTCCTGTGAAGCTAGGCTGATAAGTTTTCCGATGAGCGCTCTGTTCAAAATGAGGCAATAACACTACCCTATTTGGTTATGCAGAGTTAGAGGCGATTTAAACTATTTTGATGATTTTATCTTAACAACCTTTTCATTTACAGTTACCACCATGGCGAAAAAAATAACCTGCAAAATAAGTGCTTCCCCGCCACATGTGTATCGTTGAAGCTTCAGCCAATGAAAATACAGAAACCTGAGCTTTTTATACAAAAGAAAAGTGTTCAATCACTCCTCTTTTCATTGTCTTAATGCTTCAGTGTTAAAAAAGATCCTTCTGCTTTATATACCCAACACGATTCATCTGTTTTGTTTTATTATGTAACTCCTTATCTATTAAGATTCAGCTTTATTGATACCCGCCCAGAGACCCATTTTTTCACGATTCCCTTCTGTCAACAACCTTACATTAAAGCTACTTGTTATGGATGTACTTTAAATGTAAAATTATGAGACACAATCAGCTTTAGTAAATGAAATCATCAAAAATAGAGTCTCTCCTCTGAATCATGTGTTTTCTTTTCCCAACATGTCTTAATTGCGGTGGGGAGGAGATTTCCATGAATTTCAGAAGTCACTTAAGTACATAACTGATTACTACCGGAAAGCGAAATTGATGCATAGAAACCGTAAATATTTTAAATTGGAGATAATCTTCAAGTTGATAGTTACCTACCTGACCAATAAGAACAAGATTTTGTAAACTTCTTGAATTAATAAACGATGATGATGATGTTGTTGGACGACATGTTTTATTCTTTTCGTACTTTTTTTGAATTAAATCGATTCGTTTAAGTTCCTTTGGAAAATATGAGAAGAAGAAAACTAGTTCGAATATGTATACATAATAGATATCAAATAAGAAATAAAGTCAGCTAGCTAGCTAGCTAGACAGTGAGTATTAAATAATCTGCACCAGTCAGCTTCATACTCAACAATCTACCTTTAATCTCAGCTGAATTTCTTACATATCAGATTTTCTTCACCTTCGACCACGAATTGATATCAGCTGGAGAATCCTTGAGCATGCTTTGTAACCAGAAGGTGTTGGGTTCAAATCCCATTGGGTGCGTACTGCATCTGATGAGCTCCAAACTCGGACGAAATAGCTGTCCAGTACTCCAATAGTGGTTTCCAATGGTTCTCCAACTGACACTAATTCATGTTCGGACTTGAAACAAATTGAATCCCTATAAACTAACTCTTGAAAATTAAATTTGAATATTTTCACAAATACCTGATGACAGTCCAGAGTGCGAAGAGTGGTCCGATACTTAAGGCTTTCTTGCTACTACTTTTCCTCATTTCTTAAGCAATACGTCTTACATTTTTCAATTCCATCTTTTAGTAAAGATCGTAAATGTATTTGTTGTGCCGCCACTCGGTAGTTCAATGGTCCACGCATATGCTGTGGGTTCCAATCCCAGCTAACGCAGTCTCCTCACTCTCGTCTAGTACACTAACTCATAATAAGTCCGAAAATGACTAAAGAATGGGCATGGGGCTAGCACTCCAATCCGTAAAAGTAACACAACCCCATTATGAGGACTTCCAAATCTTGTAGCCCCATATTTCACTCGTGAATCAAGGAATTAAATAAGCAAACGTTTTTGTCTGTATTTTTTATTTCTCCTGACTTTTAAGGACACGTAAGTCAGTACAGCAATATCTTTTCGTAGCTTCACTCCAAAGTTGTACAATTATTTCGGGATCTATATGTTCAGCATTAATTGACAACAAAGGTAAGAGGTTGTTGTCAGTTAGTCACAGGATAAATCAAAGCGTATAAGAAATAACAATGCGAGAAAATTAGTGAATAATCTTAAGCAGTCAAGAGAGGGTTGACAATTAATTAGTCAAGTGAAGGATTATCATTAGGAAATAATTTATAGAAAATATGAGAAAAAAGGATTTAAAATAAGTAACGTAAAATAAAATAAAAAGACTACATAGAGTTTATTATGCAATAATTCCGGAAAACAAAAGCTGACAATAAGGCAACAGTAGTAAAAGAAGTTGGATAAGACGTTTCTGAACACAAACTTCCAGCTTTTCCTTATGGATTGCTAGAGCTTCGGCTGGATGAATGAAGAGAAGAAGTACGGCTTGATCTTTCCTAATTTATAACTCTGTATGAGTTTTTTTACTGATGCAGTGTCATCAAAATTAGTGATGTGTTCCAGAGTTAAGCTGTTGACTGTTCTGTATTCTCCTTTCGACAGCCATGCTTACAGGTGTTCCTGAGCGCTTCTAGACAATGTCCTGCTTGTACAGCCTATTTACTTAACAGAAGTAAGTGGACTGGTGAATACACACTGAAATTACAATTCGGTGAAGAAGAGTAGGTCTAGAGATCCAGTGAGGAACATCCTTAGAATTCCTTTGGACAGACGGCTTCGGAGAACTTCACTACTTGTGGGTGTCTGCCTTGAATTTCAGATTTACAATTCTTGTTTCTTCAGAACAACCCAGTTTCACTGAGTGTCCCTTCTTTCTCTGTAAACATTAGTCGATGAAAGAGGGCTGGATATCAATCCTTGATTAGAGTGCTTCCGAAGGATGCTCATTTCTTACTCCATGTATCTTCATTGCATATGCTACACATTTTCATCCCAAGAAAAGTAATGAGATTACTTTTTCTGCTTTTTGGGACAAAACAGTGAACGTTTTTCAGCTGTTCATTCCATTTCGGCTAGTGGTAAACTGATTTTTGTAGAATTTTATCTAATTATCTTGAAAGCTGGACATTTAGAAAAGATAATTTATCTTCCAAGGATGGAGAAGCGCGGCTGAATTTCACTTAGGTTAATATTTTTATGGATAGCAATAAAGAAATCATCTATGTATCGCTCGTAAACTTTGAACTGATTGATAGTCTACTGGACGCTTATGAACTGAAGGTACGTTATGAAGCAGTTGGAGAGTTAAGAAACAAATGAAGAGCCCATTGCTATACCATTTTTATTTTTTCAGTATACTTTACTTTTGAATAAGAGCTGGGCTTTAATGTGCAGTTTTACAGAACGCAGATGTACCTTGCTGGTTACAGCTGACAAACATAAAAACTAGCTGAAAGGCTTATTTCCCACTACCTCATTCTAACACCTAGAGAAACATTACAAACCACTACAGAAATCAGAATTGTTGTTTAAATTAGGTTAGTTGTCATTTTATTAATTTCTTCTGTAGGCTTCCACTGACACATTACTTATGGTCTTGTGATCAACTAAAATATAATCCCAAAGTTCTACTTATACATTACACTCAAATCTTTTCATGTGACTGCAACTTTTAGTAGTTCATTACACGATTTTACGCTGTTCATAGATGATTGGAAATAATGAAGTACAATGAATTCATTCTGCATGCTTCTCAGGGGAACTTTAGTGGTTCGTTCGTAGAATACTCGCTAACTACGTATGTTGTCCATCCAATGCACTCCTAAACCTCGCCTGCCTTACCAGTCAGTAGTTAACGTGATAAATAGGGGACGTTAGATGTGAAGTTAGCGAACTCCACTCTGTAAAAATGATACTACCGCTACTGAAACCTCGAAACTGTCTCGGAGAGGCTTCGTATGCTTTTGGAAGTGTGTGGGCTACCCACACTGTAGGAGTTGATTGATTCTTCGGGTACCTGAAACAGAAAGAGGGTTAGTGTTGTGTGACCGCAGAGCTTAGGGTACAACTGCTTGAGGTCGGTCACACACGGCCTGTGTGAACTGGTTTCTGGGATTGGTTCCATATTAGTAAACTTCCCTTCGGTTACGGACCACCGTAGGGTAAGTTGGGATGTACAATTTTCGAGGTCGACCTTTTCTAACCCCCTCTCTCCAGAGTGGAGAGATAGCATAGCTGGCATGCTGGTCATCTGAGGGAAACACCTCAATGCTGTTACATCCCTGTTCCCCAGCGGTACAACTCCTACACTAAGCTGGTAACTGCTATTAGTTATATCGCTTTCCTAACAACCTTCCTGGCATGTTTGGACCTGCAGGAACAATAGTTCCAGCCAGTTTAGCTTGTAGGGTCATTGCGGTGTGCAAGCCTGACCACCACGTCAAGGTAGCAGCTATCGGTCAGGAAACCTTGAAACTGAAGGCTCGAGACCCTATTTTCCACTCGAAACGCAAAAGAACATGGAAAAAAGTAGTGCTTTTCTCCCTAATGTCCTGGTGGGTATTTTCCAAGATTTTCCTGTTGACTGACATTACTGGAACGAAACACTCAGTCCATGTTGATACGTCAACTCCTAGTACAAAAGCTTCTACGACACGTTGAAGTTAACTAAATGTTACTCGGTTGATAGTTACTATAAGTGGAATCCAGGGTATGGCTCAGTAGTCCGGTGGATAGCGCCTTGGTGTCTAAAACCATTAGCACTTGGACTGAGTTTCAGTCAGAACTTCACCACTCACTAGGACGCAAGTATATCCATCTGACAATTTCCAAAATGCAAGAAAATTTGTGTCCTAGGTTCCACTGCTAGTCAGCATCAACCAAAAGAAAATTACGGTTTAGAATTAAATGAAGACATGGCGCTTCATACAGCTTACAACAAACTGAATTTGAAAGTAATGAGTGATTCACAAACAAAGACAAAGATAAGCGTTTGAAAATAGTTGACTGATAATAAAACTATACTAAAATCATTTAGTTTCTTTCCAATCTTTCAATTCAGTAGTGTTGCTTTTAAAGTGTAGTTCTTAATTTGTTCATCAAGGATTGTAACGGATGACATTAATGAAATTGTGTGTGGAGATAGTTAACGTTTGATGGATGACACTAAGTAATAGCAGGGCCATTTGACAAGTTGTTAAATATAAGATGTTGAATTCTCAATGGATAATCGTACAGTATAATGTACTTTTGATTTTTGTTTTTGGATTATAGCTTGACTCCACACTTTGTACTTTTGATACAAGTATGGAATTCTCAGCAAATGATATCAGTAGCCCAATTTTGCAGGCCGACCATTGATATCAGGTGTGCGTCTGCAGGGGATCGAACCCAGGACCATGTACATAGTCGGCGAAAGTCCTAACCACTGTGCCACCGATGCACTTGATAAAAGACTTGGAGATTCCGAAAACATGAACTCCTGTGAACCTGTCACTACTCATCACTAGCGAATGCCAAACTGGAATGAAAAGCTTTTAATTGCTTCTTCATAACTATTCATCATCCTGGAGAGAATCAAACATGCCCTGGATGAAAAACTTCAACCGGAATAGGCTGTATTCAGGAGAAACAAGTCATGCATTGATCAGATCGCCACATTACGGATCATCATTGAACAAAGCTTGGAATGGCAGTCACCTCTCTATCTCAACTTCATCGACTTTGAAAAGGCCTTCCGATAGCGTCAATCAAGAGGTGATTGGGAAACTACTTCGCTACTACGGGGTGCCACCGACAATTATACATCTCATCCAACAGCTGTACGACAATGCTGCATACCAAGTAATCCACAACGGGAAACTTATGGAATCCTTCGAAGTGAGGACAGGAGTAAGACAAGGCTGCCTACTATCGCCAATGATTTTCCTGATTGTGGGTGGTAGATTGGATAAGGCGACAAACAGCGGGCAATGAGGAAACAGGCATAAAATGGACTGACACAGAAAACTTGGAGGATCTGGACTTCGCCGATGATATATGTCTGATATCCCACAAACTGGAAGATATGCAAGCGAAAAGCAACAAGTTGGCAGAAGAAGCATCAAAGATAGGACTTCACTTCAGGTGAACATAGAGAAAACAGAGGTGATGAAGATTCCTGGCCAACACCACCAACAGCAACAACAACAACAGACAACAATCAGCATAAATGGGAGGAACCTGAAAGAAACAACCTCCTTCACATACCTACCTGGGAAGCATCGTTTCAACTACAGGCCGGCGGAACTGACGAGGATATCAAAGCAAGAATCGGAAAAGCAAGACAAGCTTTCACTACTCTCAAGTCTGTGTGGAGGTCAACAACACTCACCATCAAAAATAAGATCCGGATTTTCAACTCCAATGTCAAGTCAGTGCTACTATACGAATCAGAGACTTGCACTGCGCGTCATGAAGAGCATCTCCAACAAACTACACACCTTCATCAACAGTTGTCTTCGCTCAATACTACTCAAGATCAGATGGCCGGTCAGAAAAGATCAGCAACAGAGATCTCTGGGAGCGAACCAACCCGGAACTCTGAGGAAACCATCAAGTGACATCACTAGACAAGCCATCACTCGAGTGGAACCCGAAAGGGAAGCGGCGAGTTGGTCGTCCAAGGGTGACTTCGAGGAGGTCATGTGAAGAGGAGATGAAGGCGTGTTGGCAGACTTGGAGCCAGGTGAAGACTCTAGCAGAGAACTGAACGCAATCGAGACGCACGGCTGAAGCCTTATGTTCCTCTAGGAATTAAAGGAAACAATAATATAATGATAATAATAAATCATAACAATTCATGATGGATACTAATTTGAAAATAATATCTGATCAGATACATGTTCCTAAATGAAAAATCAAGCCTGCTAGACTTACATTTGGGTGTAATTTGTTCATTAAATCTGTATACATTTTTGTGTAAGATGGTCCATTGTTGACATTTTCTTCAAACTTTTTCACAGATGGCTGAGTGAAAATACTACTGGAAGTAATAGAAAAGCAAAGGAGAAATGGAATCAGTACTTCAGAGAGATTAAGTTCAATTTTAATAGATCCAATTGAAAATATTTTTTTTAAAATGATATTTTGTGAAGGTATAAAATTCACTTGAAATTTTACTGGGCAAAGTTAAACTTTAAACACCATTAACTATCAATCAGCGAATGACCTCGAACGCACCAATCACATGAAAGAGGCATTTTTGGGTATGGAATACAAATATTTATGCGGAATAAAATGCATAAAAGCTGTAGAAAAGTGTTACAGAGGATACTTTGCTCTCACATGTGATAAAAATAGCTCTCAATTTTAGGTTGGAGTATCAACAGAGTATAATTCCATTGTGGGTAAAATTTATTTTGATAAAGTCTCACAGTGTAATACAGTAATATTTACTGAGCAATAAATTGTGCTCGAAACGTGGTCATCAGTAAATATTACTGTATAACACTGTGAGACTTTATCAAAATAAATTTTACCCACAATGGAATTATACTCTACCACAGTGCACAAGTACTATTCTTATATCAACAGAGTAATTTAACCACATTCTATTCTATTTATTTATTTCTGTTTATTCTATTTTAATGATGATGACAACATTATTTTTCAGGTTTCATTAACTTGCTCAGTGAGCGTTTCAAGGTCATTGGTGCTGTCGCTTAAAGTTTAACTTCACCATTTACCGAATATTCGTGGGTGTCCCCGTCAATAATCCTAATAAGATATAAGTAAAACTGACTTCTTTGGAAGGTAACCAGTAAAGTATAAGGCGAAGATGGTTAATAATAACAATAAGATATTCATTCCACTGTAGAAAACTCTATTAACATACTGAAGCTTGTAATAATGCGCTTTAAACGCATGACACGAAATAATACTGATTAATTGAGACGAGTAGTTGCATAGCGCTTACGTCAACTAGTAATGCTTGTCAGACAAAATGAAATGAACTAATCCCCGGACGGTCGTTTCTCTAGTTTGGGGACCAACATCATCGATATAAGTATAAAACTTGGGCACTGTGGTAGAGTATAACTCCATTATGGAAAAGATTTTATTTTGATAAATCACACAGTGTTGTACAGTAATATTAACTGATGACGTTCCGAGCACAAACTATTGCTCGTAATCATATCAAGTCACTCACACAACGTTTTTCCTTCATTTATATACATGTGTGGAAACGATTAGATATTGGAATAGAAATCAAAATAGGATAATGTACATTCAGAAATAATAATATGAGTGTTATTCATTAATTACAATTAGATGGGAAATAAAACGAGTGCTTTTTTATAGTCATAATAAGCTACTTCTTAGAATGTTGTGATGTGTTTGAATTGAAATAGAATATTAAGATTATTTATTATTCTCTTTTGATTCGACCGGCGGTAATAATATCTTCCATATTTCTGGTATTTGCATTGAGTCATTTCTGTTGCATGTGTTGGGTGTAGACTCAATGAACAAGGATTCCGTAATCAACCTCTCTATCCACCTACCTATGTTACTCTTTAGAATTTTAACCCTATCCCACCCTATTGTGTGGTCGTTTCTTAATGCGTGAAGTGCAATTGCTGATCATTTTTCTAAATTACATATCTTTTCAGGGTCAACCATTCTTCCCTTAGCTAAATTCGGCTGTTCAAAATGCCAGTTTGATTGATGAATTAAAAAGTTTATTTAGAAAAACAACAGATTGAGGGAAGAAATATGCATTCCTTTTCAATTAGTAGTTCCTCATCATCGAATGGCTCTACACTAATAAATAGTTTTCTGCATTAAAATTGCTTTACTAATCAAGTGGTTATTTTAGTTAATCATTTTTAGGTATTGGTGGGGGTGGGGTGAAATTAAGAGGTCTAAAGTCATCAGAACAGTTAAATAATAGATGTTAGTAACAAGATATCTAAGTTTTGAAGGAGGCGGTGAAAATATTTGATTACAGAATTCAAGATAACTTGATTCTTTGGAGTTAGCAACAAGTTATTATATATAATCAAAAATTCTGTAAAATAATGATGACTAAGAAGAATAGGATGACTCAGAAGAGTTACGTAAAATACAAACAAGTTAGTAGAGTTTGGTAGAATCGTAAAAAATAAGAAAATCAAAAGATAGTTAAAAGGGGAGGGATAAACTCGTTTTAAAAAAATTAAATACATATTATGTAGTTGGCCATGACAAAGAAAAGGGCTGTAGAAATTTCTTTTGAACACATAGATTTAGCTTTTTCAGATGAATTCCGATTGTCTCTGCTGTATGTAAAAGTCGTACTCGTAAACCATGCGAGAGGTTGGATGATATACGATAAATAACTTTAAAAGCTTTGTTAGATTCAACTTCATGTCCAGTATTACGAGATGAGCTAGTATTGAACTGCGTATAGCTTTATTCGGACCTTTGCCAAAGCAATATGGGAGGTGTTCGGAAATTCGACGATGAACTTGCCTGATCTTACGCCGTACGTAACTAAACCCGCACAGGCAGTTAAAATGGCAAATACACATGGAAGAGGCGAAACATCTATTAGTTAATTGTTTTGATTACTTGTAACCTCTTAAATTCAATCCATCCCCCCACACCAATACCTAAAACTGACTAAATAAAATAATCACTTGATCGGTAAAAACATTTTGATGTAAAAAGCAGCTATATATTAGCGCAGAGCCATCCGATGATGAGGAAGTAATTGAAAAGGAATGCATATTTCTTCGCTCAATCTGTTGTCTTTTTAAATGCGTAAACAGGAATTTGAACAGCTTATTTGTCGAAAGTTTGACAGATTTATAATTTTACCTTGAGTTTAAACTTTATCTCCAGTTACAAAAATGATTTTGAAAGGGAAAAGAGAAAAATGGTCTCACTTTATTGTCAAGCTTTCCTCTAATTAAAGACAGTTTAAAAACTACAGTGTCCAATTGGTATACAAGAAAATAACACAAGTGTTTTTGGATGTTAAGACTAAAATTGTGAGTCGGCGGTTCACTGGTTGAACACTCTCCAACTAACCACATGGTCTGGGATTCGATCCCCCGCCAATGCACTCCTAAACCTTGCTTAACCAGCAGTAAAGCTGGTAAACAGGGAAAGTAGGGCGTGAGGCTAGCCACCCCCACTTCGTAAAAGCAAAAACAATTGCTACCGAAAATAAGATATAAGAAAAAAATTGAAAAAGAAAACAAACAACAAGCAAATTTTCATACTTCGTGAAATGTGCCTCCAACTACCCAGCAAAATCTGCTGAAAGAGGGATGATGATATCACCTGCCTGTCTAAATCTTGGTAGGTAGGGTGATGACCCAGTGACTAAACGTCAAGCACAAAAGCGTAAATAACCAAAGAATGAGTGGTGATGTCCTAAAATTATACGTTACTTCCCCTTTACTTTATGCTTCCAATGTGAAAAGATTACGTGGCGCTGCATATTATACTCAACACATTCATAGCTCTGTACAAACCATAAAGCATACTCATGGCCTTATTTATAGCACAGTGTTTTTAATTTATTCGGCAAAATCTTTCTGTTACCAAATATCTCATTTTAACGTTACAAAAAAATATATGGATACGAATTGCAACAAATAATACAGAATCACCAGTATTTGACGCATATATCTTAATAGATAATAGGGAAGTGTCAGACAAAATAGAAAAACAAACTAATAGCGAATGTCCAGCAAAAGTTTACTCAGTTGAATAATGATAAAACTTCAAAAGCTTTGAAAATTTCATTAATCGTGAACGGATGGCAAAAATTAAACCATCTATAACAATTCCAAATAGAATCCTTAAGACGCGTTTATGTTTAAAGCTACCACTTCTTGTAGAACGACTGAGTTTTCAGAAAGCTTATAATGAATCGTGAAATTTATTGGAATATCATCATTTGCAGAAACATACATGACTCATGTTGAAAGGGATATGATAATGACAAAACTACAATGGATAAACTGTTGATTAAAGAGAAAAGATGCGACTTACTGGAACAAATCAGGCATGGCTTGTAGCCTGAATGCTCTTTACCAATGAATTTACTTCCAATAAGGAGAACATAAGAAGAGGTTGTGAAGAACGATATAATATGGTTGTAGTGTGTATTTATTTTAGTAAAACGATCGCTATATTATTTAACAGTGGCTCATTTAGAAACACCAAAGGCTTCAGCCTAAACGCGAACATGCGAGGGTGAGAAGAATATGTATAACAGAAAAGAAAGGATAAAGGCAGGAGCAGTACTCTATGTATGAAAACTTGTCACTAACACTCTTCTGGATAGAACTATTACAATATTAACCTTTGAACACATATATTATTCACCGATGTACGTTGATTAACCGGCGAGAGTTTTTAAAACCAACATATTTCTCAAAAACAGATTATAGCGAGCATAAAGACAGCGGAATACTGTAATAAGTTTGTATCAAAAGCACTCTAAATCCACTAGTAATGTACAAAACAGATAGACAGGGGAAGTGTGCACTACGAGCTCTTACCTTGTTTTTCGAGGGATTTCGGTGAATTCTAAAGCAGTAAATAAGCGTAAGAATACATGATGAACTCACCATCTACATATCCAACATCTGCAAATGGAGATCCATTCTTCGTAGAATCTTCAAGCCTTAACAACCTTCTCCTTTCTAATCTAACCTTTGAAAGCTTATCTGAACATAAAACAAAGGTTAATGTGGTACCTCTTCTTTGTTCTTCACTTTTTATGTAAAGCTCATCAATTTTGTTTGCAGGGAGTTTTTTGAAACGTTCGAGGAATTCAGCCCTGCTTTTGTAAAGCAGATCAACAGGCTACAAGTAAGTTTTAAAATGCAAGACATTACAGGTATCCTCAGGCGTGAACAGGCTTCAAGAGATCTGGGACTAGTAAGCACATACTTTGAATCCGTAAAACGTGGATCTTCAAAATTTTCCAAATCTATGACAGGTAAATTTAAACTGCCTGAAACCATTTCTATTTCTTTTGTTTATTCATATATTTGTCTCGCAAAGCATATTAGCAAGTAACAACCCAGAAAAATGTCTTTACAAAATCATTGGCGTCCGTAACAACCGATTTAAAAGTAGCGGTAATGACCTACAGAACTCCAATTTTAGTGTAGAGCAGAAAAAGTATCCATATATTGCCATAAGCTACTAAAACCAATTTGATCTCTCAAGCTCGATTCTGTATGGTGATCTGGGTGGTCTGATCTAGTTTTGTGGGCTAAAAAAGAATGTTAATTCGTGATCTACCATCCTAAAAATGTCCGTTGGTTGAATTCAAGGCGGTTATCGTCCCAACATTAGTTACCTGAAATATGGTAAGTTCGGAAGATGCGTTAATAATGGGTAGCTCGAATGATCAGCCGGACAGCTGTTCTGTTAGTAGGTTTCAAAGAGGGAACGTAAATAACTTTCCTGAGAATTATCTGTTAATCTGAATCGAGTATTGTTATGCATCGTTATCCATCTACACTAAGTTTATAATTTTGGTAACGCGTGCATCCGACCAAACCGCATCACCAAAGAAATGAAAACCTATGAGACGACAAAACAGTTGAGCACACTTTTAACTAATCTGCTCATACTTTCGGATATTCTCAAAAGGTACAAACGATCATGACATATGTAGAGTGAAATCAGGAACTGTCCTTATTCTGCCATACGCATATTAAGTTCGTCAGCTCCTAATCCAAGATCCTAACGTTTTTTACTTTATATCCATAGTAGTTAGCTTGTGCAGTACTACTGAAGGCTATCTAAATTAAGACAGTTTGGAGGCTGACGGTATCGACGTTCGCGAATTCTACGGAGTATACAAACGCAAGATCTTATACCAACAACTTCTATAGTGCTCGCTCTTCGAGTACCAAAGACAGAGCAAAAGACCAGATTTAGTCGTCCAAAGTAAGATATACATTTCGGGACCAAATCGTGAACTGTATTGATTGCTTAGCTGGCTAGTGATCGTGCACGCACGTGACACGACGAGTGCCAAATGGCGAGGATGCTTGACCGGAGGCCTTCGGCTAAACAAGTCGACTTAAACAGTGAGAGTCAGCATCCAATGTTGAGTGATGATTGCTGTGGTCAATAGTTTTTTGGAATTATTTACCGCTACAACAGCTTTGTCTCCGGCCTTCTAAAGCCAAACATTACGCTGCTACTTCAAGCGTCTTGCAGTGACTTGAATAAGACAGTATGCAACAATAGAAAAACCGCTATTGTCCCGCAAGCCGAGCGTATTTTGTGTCTTTCAGGTTTCACCTAACACGGAAGTAAAACAACTGGCTCAATAATAGGCGAATAATGTAGTAAACTTGATGAGAGTAGAAAGATTCTGTGAATGGTTCATACGGATTTACTGGGACAAATAAAGGACGAGACATATTTACCATTACCTAGCAATTATTGGACACCTCTTCACGATGAGAATGTTCCAGGCAGTATGTTCTTCCTAGACTTTGCGGGGGTATTTGACACAGTTCAGCATGATCTACTTTACAGAATAAGCCAGGCGAGTATAGACAACTTGCTCCTCTCATGAATGAAGGACTACTTAGATGGGGGAGTATAATGAGCCAGAAGCAGTCGTGTCCGATTATCCCGGCAGAATTAAGCATCGCAAGTACCACGGGGTTGTATTCCAGGGTCCTTTGTGGTTCGGATGTTCATTAGTGACCTGCCTTATGGTCCAAAATTCCAGATCTTCTTCACACTGACAACATAAGGATTTAAAGTAAAATTAAGTGCCCGGAAGAACCAGGTATGGTGCAGACGGAAATAAAAATCCTGAGAGACTGGGCACTGGCCAGTGGTATAACCTCAAACCCCTAAGTGGTGAAACGACGCACCTGTAGGTCATGGAGAGTAAGTTGCTGTGTTCGTGGTGACAACTTGCCTTCTGTAACGCGGCAGTGTGACTCAGGTCTTGACCCAACAGGAAAGCCAGTAACATGTGTGTATTGTATGGGTGATGTAATTACAGCAGATATGGCCACGCTCTTAACGCACAGACATTTGGGTTAGCCCCTGATTTTTGTCCAGAATTGTACAGAACATACGTACTACCGCACTTCGAAGCGCACGATGACATCATTCCCCCGTTACTGATAAAGGACTTCACTCTTTTGGAAAAGGTCCAGGGACGCTCAACAAAAGCGGTGACTGGTCTCTGGAATAAATCATCTTGTGAAAGGCCGAAGGAACTTACATACGATTGGCGTATTAGTAGCATAAATACTGCCTACAAGATTGCAAATGACCAGAGTCGCCTAATAAATTTGTTCTGACTCTAAGTCACCAAAGACCTCTTCATCGGAACCCACGAATGATGGCACGTTAGTGAGCAAAACTCGAGCGCCCTGTCTTGCTTTTCTCTTCTGGTTCAGCATCCCCGGAATTCGTTCACAGAAGCTGAGGCTACTTCACCATCTGTGGAAGGTTTCAAGCGGAGACTGGAAAACGATTCGGAGACTGAATAACTGCTTCTCCATAAAGCTCACACTAAATCGATGGAGCATATTCACTTAATCTTTTCCTTTACCACCGCCTATTCTCTACTGATGCACATTTCGAACTAATCTACCTATTCATTCACCTATCTTGTCATTATTTCATTCATTTTCATTTGATTTTTAGCCGTAAAATTCCACTCTCTGTCTGTTTGTACGTTTTTCTTTTTAAGTCTACATAATACGTTAATTATATCTGTTATTATTATCATTATTACTATCATGCCTACTTTCATCCATACCACATGAATACCTGGTGAAAAAATCATTTCCACTCACAACAGCAGATTAAACATACCATACTGAGTCCGCGATTAGACTCTAATAGCATAAACATAAGTCCTAGTACTTCTTTGCGTCTATTGATTTACCAGGGAATTTTGATTTGCAGCACTCAGTGTTAGACAAAAAGGCATGTTCGAAGTCATATGAAGGCGTAATATCAAAGCAATCAGATTAGGAGTTCTGACCAATACGATGTGGTAATAATTATAAAGCAACTTTTAGACAGATAAACAGGTCAAGGCTCTATTGCATGATGAAATTGCATCACAATGATGAAGAATAAAACAGGTCACTACAATCACATATTGATAATCACAGAACCACTAACGTAGGAATCAGACAAAGTTAAGGCAGTCAAGTGCACAGGACATATTACGAAGAAGTCTCCTAAAGATGGCGACCACGAAGCATTAGAGTTACCTCTATTTAATCATCCTTGAACTACATCAGGTTTCAAACGTAAATTGCCCATCATATGTTCCAATTTCCTCTACTTAAAAGAGCCACTTTACAGAATGCCAGTATATTTAAGAAATAAATGTTTTCGAATTCAGCACAACTCGACTCCTACAATAGCAAAAGAGCAACAGAGAAATTTATCACTGAATGATTGGAAACTAGCGCCATGTGTTCGCGACTTGTCTACTCCAATGGCTTATTTCCTAATCCTCTTCGCATATCTCAGTAGCTAGAAATGAAGAAAATCAACATATCTGTCTGAAATTCGAAAATATGTGCACGATATGAACTAATTGGCATCAGCAATTCATGTTATTCTAGGCCTCATAAGAATCACGGTTTTCTGCATCAAATAGCGTTTACGTCATTGAAATAAAGACGACATTTATTACCACTGCCAAACTGCAGGAAAAATTTGTCACACACGTTAAAAAATTACTAAAATTTAGGTAGGTGTTCCGGATACATTGGCTGTCCTGTCTGCACCCACTTCTCAAGTAGTTGGTAGTAATTCTTTTGACTTCCAAATTGATTAGCAGAGGGCCAACAGCAGGTAGGAGGTACTACACAGGTGGCCGTTGTGGGACTTGGCTAAAACTAAGTTGTAATTTGCGGAAAGCTATCTTTATTATCTAGCTTGTGACTGGCTATTCCCAATGGTCACCAAAAAGATATTCGTCTGGTCCTAGTCGCCCAACCTCTGTATTAGTTGCCTCAGCTGGAATCATAACATATGTCCTATAAGGACAATTGAGGACAGAGGTTGTCCTTAACTGTCTCAGGGCAACAGTATATCTTTCCTTGATGAGAGTTGATCAAAAGAACAACGGTGTTGCTTTCTCTGTTTATATGATCTTTCAGCTTGCAAGCACAAAGATAACTGGTAACTGTTGATTCAGATGAGTGACGCAGGTTAATTGTTGACAACTGGTGTGTCGGCTGCTCACATAAGCTAAGGGGTCTCTTGATATGAGAAAATGAGGCGTACTATTTCATGTGCTAGATGTGAAATCTATTTGAATCACATTGCTAGTATCATTTACATGGATCATTGAGATCGATTATTAATCGACACCGAGCCTTTTCTTATTTCTGATCAAACCGAATTGTTTCCAACTTTCGTGTACTTGATTCCTGCTTACGATGAATTTCTTAAATTAAAACTTATAGTTGTCTCTCGGTTTGATGTTTTAATGAATCAGCAGTGGTAGGAACACGAACTTGTTGAATAAATTAATAAGGACATCGGAGGCAAAGAGGAATCAAGTAAAAATTGCAAACGATATAGAGTAACCAGACAGTGAGATCATTACGGCCTTAAACATTCTATTAGGCGAATTAGCATATTTCGACAAACTAATGAAGTAGCGATGTATTCATCTGGATAACCAATGATCTTGTGTCTATTCATGAATAAATTTGGGAAGAATATCGTCTTGAAAATATTGATTAAATACCTGAATGATACCTAAGCGGTATTAAAAATTGAAGCTCTTCAAATGAGATGGGGTTAAAAATGTCTTAATGAGAGCTTAGGGCGAAATTTGAAGTGCTCCCGAGAATTTTGCACCTGATGGATTTGACAGTTTGCACACATAGCTTATCTTGATAATTGCATTCATTTGACAACGCAGAGTTACTCCATACAAAAGAATTTCGATAAAGTGAGCGTATAAACATAAGCCGTAAATGTGTAAATTCTGATTTACCATGAACTTGTCAGAGCTATTCATATTAAACAGCGATAGGGCAGTAAAAAACAAGGTCATTTTGCTTGCCAGCCATTGGTAAACACAAATTTCAAGTAACGATAACACTATCATATACCCACTGTTCAAAT